TCTCCTCTCCCCAGCTATTTGTCAATATGTGCACCCAAAATAAAAAAAAAAGGGGGGGGAAATTTCCTCCGTTCCGGCTGTTTCCTTAGCTGGTGAGTCACAGCCCACGAAGAGGCACCACCGCCGCCGCTCGCCGGGAGGGAGTCAGACAGCAAAACGCCTGGCAACCTCCTCTGTAACAAGGATGAGGCTCTCGCTGCTCGCATCTATCAACGCGTTTCCACCTTCTCCCAGGCGCGAGAGCTAGGGAGGAGAGAGACAGGTCTCCTCTGAACAGAACCGTAGAGGAAGGCACATATGCCTTCAGACCACGTTTCGGCTTTTCTACTCCCAAAACTCCTTGGCAATAGGAATTCGAGCCCTTTGGCTGATTTCCGGCGCATCGAAACAGGATGATACAACCCAGTCCATGAGTCCAGTAGGTCTGAACATGAGAATGGCTCCTGCCCACATACAGCAGGGTTAGAAGGGACTTTAAAGATCATCCAGTTTCAACCCCTCTGCCATGGGCAGGGACACCTTCCACTAGACAAGGGTGCTCAAAGCCCCATCGAACTTGGCCTTGAGTGTTTCCAGGGACGGGGCATCTACCAACCCTCTGGGCAACCTGTTCCACTGTTTCAACCACCCTCATGGTAAAAAATTACTTCCTAATATCTAATCTAAATGTACCCTTCATGTAACTGTTCAAAGTCTGATTGTTTCTTCACTCTAAACCCCATCCTAAGCTCCTTTTGCACATCCTTTTTGGTATGTCCCAAATTCCTTCTAGTCTCAGCCACTGATGGTATTTACTCATTACTTCGCAGTTTTTACAGTAATGAGGCAGTGCAATGAAGCAGACAGAATTGCTCTGGGACACAGGAGATCTGGGTTCTATTTTTAGCCTGCTGCTGGCCAGCCTGGTGACCTAGGCAAAGCACTTTCCCCGCTACAGCTTCCTTATCAGGGAGAGACTGGTATTTCTTTTGTAATGTGTTTTGTGGCCTGTCAATAAAAACAACACTGATAACAGCCAGGTGTTGTTGGGAAACAGTTAGTCTCCCAGCTGAATACAATCCTCTCCTTTAGTGTTGCAGTAGCATCTACAGGATCCCAAATGAAAATCAGACCCCTACTGCAGACACAGCACCTGTGGGTAATTAGCAGCAATTCCTAAATCTGTGTTTTTCCAAGGTGGCCCTTGGCAGGTCTGCAGCTGAGGGTCACATCTGCTGTGAGCCACCCAGGTCCTGCCCCAACATGAAACGCTGGGCTCTGAACCTCTCCTTTAAGGAGAAGTGGACATTTCAAAGCCAGCAGAGGTCTGAAGCCCCCATAACACAGCTCATCCAGAAGAAACCGCAGTACATGCGGCTCCAAGCCGGCCTTCCCGGGGATGGGACACAGGGTAGCAACTGGCTTTTCACGCCGCTACACAGAGCACTCATCCCTGAGCAACCCTGCCTGGCGAGGAAGGAAGATACTGCTGGCACCACGAGTGAGGGTCCCTCTCCATGAGCAAACAGGGCACTCGAGAGGTTGCTTATGAGAGTTTTTCATTTCTGCCTGTTTCGAAACTACAAGGCAAAAACAATTAATAAAAATCTGCCTCCCTCCCTCCCAGATCTATCTATTTCCCTTTGACAAACAGTGATTTCATTTTTCTTCCCGTCCAGGATTTTTTTTTTCTTTCTCTTTTAAAGTGAGCCCAAGTCAACGTGGCAAAAAGCTCTTTGCTCGTGTCCTTATTTGTCAAACACGCCATCGCCGCACCCTCACCACCATTCTGGGAACAAGCCCTCGCCTTCACTGGCTGACTTCAGCCGAAGGGGAACTTCCCAACACGACTCTCCCCCAGCCCCAATGCACTCTTTTGAAAAGAAACATTTCCTTTTTTTTTAAAAGCAATACAGTTAATGAGAAGAGAGTTTAAATTTCCTTCCCCCTTCCTCCCCAGCCCTGCTGTGAGTCTGAACATGGCGGACCAAGATGGGAAAACAGAAACTACAAGAAAATTGCTAAGGTATTTCATGACCCAGTCCTCCTCTGATTTCCATCTGAGCATGGACACAGCAAGGGAAGTCAGATACTAAAGTACCTTTTTGGATCTGATCCTAAGTGGCCAGTTCCACTGTCCAAATAGAGATCCAGAGATAAACAGGCCTATGAAAACTGGGCATTATTACTTTAACTGCTGCTCTTAAGCTACAACTTTAACTGTAATAATCTGTGCAGCTTTTGGCCGTCTGCTAACAGTAATACACGGCATGATAATAAACTAAACATACATATTCTGCTGCCCTCTTCAACTTTCAACACCTAGTATAAAAAGCTTTACCTGGAGCCACAGCACACATATTTCATAAGCTGCCATCAGCACTCTGCCATCAAGAGAGAAATTTCTGTTGTAAAGGGGCTGATTCGCTGGAGCAGATAACTTTCAAACTCTGGAGTAAACCTGGAGGGCTTGCACCGAGACTGCAGGGGCCAAACCACGCCAGGCAGCAACCTCAGATCTGGTCCATGCTCAGGAATGGGATCATCTGCTCCAGCACTTACATTCAGCAACAAGGAAACTTGAGGCATGGAAATGAAAAGCCCTGGCATCGGAGAGCAGAATCAGGCTTGGCTTTAGTTTGTTGGAGCCTGATCCAACACATGCTCATGAGATTCCTGCCTTCAGGCAACCATGTCCTGAGGGCTGAGAAAGGATTCACACCAGAAGGAACACAGCCACCTTTCATTCTGCTCCTTCATCCTGGGAAGCTCCGTCTGGAGTCATGAAAATGATTGTGTTCAATGCACGAAGGCATCGAGCAGCATTCTTCATCGCCACCTGCCCTTTTCCTGCATCTTTTGGGCCTTGCGTCTTGCTTCAGCATGGCTTTTGCTGCTCCTGCAAGATAAGGAGCTGATCTTGCAACACGAGACCCCGCCGGCTCCGGACAGCCCTGGCTTTTGTCTGCTCCCAATCGCCTTCAGAGGATGGAGGGAAAAGAAAGGGGGGAAAGGTGACAAGAGAGCACAGATTAAAGGCAGGGACTCCTGTTTGCTGCGCAGAGTAAATCTGAGGGTGGTGACAGTGCTGGGGTACAACTGGTAGGCTTGCCTTGCTCCAGACAGGATGCCATGCAAAGGAATCTCACTCTAACCAAGCTCCTGCCTAAACCCAACGCTGTGAACACGGCTCCAGCCCCAGCTTCCCAAAGCCAGAGAGAAAGGGTGTAACAAATAGCAATTTCATGAGCTCAGCAGGGAAGGGCCGTCCCGCTGGGTGGTTCTACCAAGGGGTACATCCCAGTGACAGCCCCAAGCAGCTCAGACACATCATTGGACCCATCGCAGGAGGCAGGCACGAGGGGCTGAAGACACAAGCCCCTTGCAATAAACATGGCGAGGTCCCCTCCTCGGGCAACCCGGCAAGGGGGAAGCCCAAGCCCCTCCATGAGGCCCCACAACCCCTTGCCACTGCCCGGCTTATGCGCAGGCAGCACCCTGCCCACGTCAGGAACATGCGGCTTCACCGCTTCCCAGGGCGGGCTGGAAGCTCCCCTGCTCCCATGGGGTCTGCTCTTCTCGAAGAGATAAGAGACAGAACAACACTTGCTGTGGAATTACTTCATTCCCCCAAGGCTGGGAAAAGCCATGCTCTGAACTTGGCTAATGTCCCTGACGGCTGCAGCCTTTCCTGGCAAGGGAGAAACCAATCCTCATTAACCCCTTCCCTCCCGAAGGCTGCTTATAACACTGAACCCACTGCAGGAACACGCTGAGACTTTATGACAGCACCCGAACATCTCGCCACAGGCAAGAGATCAGAGGAAGCCCACGAGGGAGGGAAATGTCTTCTTTTTACAGAGGCACAAAGTAGATGAATTGACTCTACAGCTTGTGGCGGGGTCAGGAACCAAGTCAGGCCTCTTGAATCCTGTTTAATGTCTGCCTAGCAGCCTATTCTCAGGTTCAAATCCATCGAGGGACAAACTTCCAGGGTCACCAAGGGCAGCACCATGGCTGTGGATATGTGGTTATACAACTCTCACCAGCCCCAAATCTAGACCACGCTTGCTTTGCTCTCACTACTCCTCCCAGAAGGCTCTTTCAGACCTTCGCAGCCTCAGTGATTAGAAACTTTCGAAACACCAGCATAAAGGTACTTGTGGCAAGCTCAGCTTCTCCTGTTCCTGCACCAACACTCACCCAGAGCTAAAATAGTTGTTCTTCTTTGGTGCTTATTCCCCATACGCATTTCAAATTTGCAACCATACCCCCTCCTCAGCTTTCTTTTCGCTCAGCTAACAAGCCAAACTCTTCTGGTCTCCACTGGCAAGACTAGCATCTTGCTTCTTGATCACCCTGACAGCCTGTCCCTGCAGTCTGAACACATCTCTCCTGAATGCGCTTGAGCTAACACAAGGGTACCCAGCACTCCAGGCAAGCCGGCGATGTCTGCACAAAGGTGTTCGTACTTTTCAGAGGTGTTCAAGGTATGTCCCTATCCACACGGCACAGGCCATCATCACCTGATGCATCTGAGAAGTTGCACTTTCATCCAGATGGCAAATCCAGAGGATCCAAGCCAGCAAAAACGGGGTGAAAAGGGTCTCAGTGACATCACTGGAGCCTGGGCCAGGGCTTATTTGTTTCACTTAATTTTAGGCATCTAAACAAAGCACTTTTCGGATCGGATTACTGCCCTGAAGTCTCTCCACAGTCCATGGAAGGAGATGGCCCTTCCAGCAAACAATTCATTCTGGGAAGGTTTCACTCCCATCTGCCATCACAAGCAATTAGTCTTCTAATTCAAGCCGGATGGGAAAAATCCTTTAATAGCCCAGCAAGTTTTGAATGGAAATATTCCCTACTTGGGAAACACAGCTTGCTAAAGCTGACTTGGTTGTTCCTGACACATGATTTCTAACCACAGCTCTCTGCCACCTCATTTTGGGTGATAACCCATTCATTTCCACAATTTTTGGATCAGTTCTGAACAAACGGTAAAATTCTCATCTTCTTACCTGCACATTGAAAGTAACATCATCCAGAGTGGGCGGTGAGGGGAAGGCACCTTGTGACGATGTAATGTTCCCCAGGTCATCCACAGGAGGTGGAGGTGGAGGAAGGAAGTCCCCTAGGAGAGAGAATGGGAGAGCTTGAGACTGACCAGCACTTCCCCACATCATGCCATGGATGAACCCTGCAATACTCTGCCATCAGTTTTGTGGCGCAGGCAGTAACACATCGTTTAACCATTAATGCTCAGCTGTACCCCAGACAGCGCCAGGAGATGGCTACGACAGCTCAGTAACGTTGGCAGATTGCTTAGAGATGCTCAGACCCTGCAGCAGAAGGTGACTTGCCACAAAGCCTGAAGGCACCAACAACGGGCTCCACAGATCAAAGCTTGCATCTCAAACCTGCTGCATGCAACCAACAAGGCTTACAATGCATCCCACCCAATTCACTCCCCTTGCATGCTAAATTATGCCAGCTCTTCTTGATCACTATAAAAACAGCATCGGATGCTGTCCAAAAGCCGGGATTCCCTGTTGCAGAGGACACATGGAGGGCTGGAGCTGGAGCCCAAAATCTAGACCAGCCCATCTCCTGCATCCCTGCTGCTGGCAGGCAGCCATGCTCTTTGCACCTCCCTCTTTCTATAAGGGCCTCATAGCTTCATGTAAAGAACTGCTGGGAAGATCACAGGCTCTTCTCAGTGACAACCACCATGTGACGGACCAGCTGCAAGCTCAGAAGCATCCACATTTTTTAACTCTGAGGAGGCTTTTTACATGGGGCTGATGTACAAAATATCTACACTTTAATTTGCTTGTCTTGAACTTCCAGAAGTGCTGATGTCAAGACAAAGCAGCACACTGGCTGTGAAGCCATCCAGCTTAGCATAGAGATGGGAGACGTCTCCTTGAGAACTTCATGGGAGGTGGGAGCACAAAGAAGAAAACAAGGACAGAGCAGCAGAGGCTGCAGGCAGCAGGACACCAGGCTCTGAAAGCACCTCCTAAGGGCATTTGCCATTAGCACTGGATTTGGCTCCTGGGAAGGCAGTTGTCTGTAATTTGGACCACTCTGGTATGTTTTTATTTCTTCTCATAAAGCTTGATGCTGCAAGTAGAGCTGTTTGCTGTTGGCCCTCATGTTTGCAGCATCTGGGGTGGAAGTTCAAGACGAATAAGTGTGATATTTCACATATATATATATATATAAACTGTTGCTTTTGGAGGGTTTTAACCCTTTTGTGAGGAAACATGGGCTCCCTACTTGACCCGCCACATCTCCACACAGTGCCACACAAGCACTACAGGCCCTCAGCACCATCCCCAGACACCAAGGAGCAGGATCCAAACCGCTCAGAGGGGTGCTCAGCTGAACCCCAGTGACCCACAGTACTCTGGACCACCCATGCCCAGGTCCCAAGCCCTGGGCTCAGGCCACCCCAGGCACGGGCACCAGCTGGGCAGCGCTGCTGGCACGCCACCTTTATGCTGTTTGCCATGGGAAGCAGATGGGTGTGCAGCCCTGGAAAATTCTTCTCTTTGATTTCAAATCTCCCTCTGAAAGGCACAAACTCCCCCTAGGACTTTTAGGGATCTTATTTCCCAGGAAAGTAATTTCTTCCCATTTTCCCCAAAGTGAGCATGGATACAACTCAAAAAAAATCCCTCTGAATCCCTAGGAAAGTATCATCCTAAATACAGATGCATGAAAACAGTTCGAAAACAACACACTGAAAACTAATTTAAGACAACCACATTGCTTCAATACATAAAATCCCATGAAACCTACTGGCTCATGATATTACAGAGTTCAAGATCGATTTTTTTAAAAAAATTATGTCCAATAACATCTGCAGTATCCTCCTCTTTGCCCTATAATTAATCCAATATTTTATTTCATATCATATGCAATACAATACAGAGTAAAAAAAAAAAGAAGAAATATTTTTAAATTAATATCTTGGTGTTAGTTCTAAAAAAATGCTGGCATGTTTGAGAACTAAGTAAACTTTTCTTCTTTGCTCTGAAAATGACCCTCCAACCAACCAATGTGATTCTGCAAACAAATCCAACTCCAGTGGACACTTACTTCCCGAAGAATACACTTCGAATGATGTCTCTCCAGTTAGTCCTGGCTCTGACGCCGAAGACACATCTCCCTGCACAGCACATTAGTCAGACACTCCTGCTTTATTACAACCCTTCAAAACACCTAAGCAAAATCGAGGTAGAGAACATGTTGCAGAGGATGAGACAGGGAGAAGGACCGGGTTTGTGCATAAACAGAAGGGAAAAATAACAACTGCATAACAGAAGGGGAAAACAACAATTGCTCATACGAACACAAAACAAGTATCATTTTGCCCCTTTGGAAGGTCCGTTCCTCCCAAAAGAAAAAAACACTGGCAAGCTTTTTTAGAAAAGGAGCAAAGGACAGAAACAGAGAAGAGCCCTTTTCTAAAGTCTGGAAGAAAACACTTTTCTGTGCAGTAGGAGACAGCTGGCTTTACCATGTCCCAGCCCAGCTCTGCTGACTCTGTCCTCTGTGTCAGATAAGCTGCTGGCTCTGCTCTCCCCACAAACGGGAAGGTTTTTAGACTGGGAAGCAGAGAGCAGATGCCTGATGAACTGGGGGGACCTTGCAGATGTTTGGCCTTTTCCTGGTCCTCTGTGAACAGATGGACTTTTCTCCTTCACAGCTTTAGTTATTTATCCTGCCACTGCACTTTCCTCTTTCCCACACACAGCCACAGGACCCAGTGCTGTTCCCACTGCACTCGCGGGAGAGTATTCCCTTGGATGCAGCAGGGACAGCTGTTACTGTATTATTATTATTATTGGCATTGCTGGAAGTCTCCCTCCGGCAGAGAGGGAAGCCTGCAAAGACCATAAAATCTGTGTCCTGATCCACGTGTACTGTTTTAGATGATGTGTGGAAGGAACAGGTCTACGTTTTGAGGGAGTAAAGGAGAAAAAAAAAGCTGAAAGCAAGCTTACACTCCATTTAAGCAGCATCTCCCTACAGACTGCTCCAGTGCACCTTCGGGACCTTCCCTCATCCCAGAAGCTTTGCAAGCCAGACAGATTTCACTTGCTTAGAGCTGGGCAAGCAGTGGGAGGGGGCAGAAGAGTCCATGTACAGGCAGAGCACAGCACTGCCCACCACTGCTGACCACCTCCAACACCAGCCAGCTACGTGGGGAGCCATCCGGGGAAGGGACCGTCCCCTGGTCCGCATGGATGCACCGGCAGCCCCAGGGGAAACAGGGTTCTGGGCTTACCAGAGGTAACCATGGGCTGGTGGAGGACATGTCCCACCACCCTGAGCGCTCACCCTCTCCTGCCTCACCCCGCTGCCCCTCTGTGAATAAGGGGTACGATCAGAAAGAGGCTTATTAGCATTGATTGCTGCTCAGGACCGAGATTAGTGTTTTGGTTGACATTCCCCTGGCATCAGCCTGAACACTTGGAGGAACTTCAGTTATGACAGTGACTGCACTGAGCTTCATCAGTGGAGAGACACCAAGGCATCTCCAGCAGGCAGTTTATACCTCAAGGCAGGTGAAATCACCTTCCAATGGCAAGCTCCCCGCGGAGGCAGCCCGGGGCAGGAACGTTTGCAGGCGGGGAGCCGCATCCCGCCCCTCCTCACACCGCAACCTACCTTCCGCTTTTGCCATCAGAAACATCTACCCATTACCATACATTTAGAGGAGAAAACAAACACCCTTCATTGTGCCAGCTACTCATTTCTTCTTCTTCTTACAGCTGAGAAGACCATGAGTCAACCTACGAAGGGGCTGTGCGGTGTGACACATGCGCCAGCTCGGTTATTTCAGACACGACGACGCAGCGTGCCGTGAAACCGCAGCTCTGAGCTCTTCTCTCGGTGCCTGTGTCCGCTCCTCAGCCGGAGCATCACCCAGCACGACCACGAGAGATGATATTGTCAGCCCCAGTAATGCTCTCGCCCACACTTCACGATCAAGTAATCAGAACAGAAATTCAGTCGGTCCATCACAGCTGTGTTGGGAAACGACAGCAGAGCCATAACCAGAAGCGATGCCTCACAAGCCCCAGCCCGGATTCTGGCTTCAATCAAATCTGTGCCATGCATTTGCTAGGTTTTATCCCCGTCCTCTCCAAAATCTCCCCTCTTACACATTCCAAGGATATTTAGATGTTTCATTATTACTCTTCTCAAATGCGCAAATAAAAAACTGTTCAAAGCCTTAACAGATGTCTGCATCAGCACGAGCCTGTCACGCTGAACAGCAACTCTTAAAATTTTTGCCATTGACTGCCTGATGCCTTCTGGGTACAAGCACAAGCTGAGAAAAACATCCTGTCTCATGTACCAAGCACCTTTCTCCCTTACAGTCTAACCTTTACATTTTTAAGTGCACTTCAGTGTTTTGCAGGATCAGATTCGTATGTCTCAAGCCTTTGTTTTCACGGAGATACATCTGCCAGCCAACAAGTGAGTTGCAGCACAGTAGTTGCCTCCTCCCTTGACTGACACAGTTGTTTAGACATGAAGATTTGCAGCTTTGAAACTTCTAGACATGAAGAAGAGCTCATATGTTCAGTAAGAAGAGACTGTTTAGGGGAAAAACCCTCGGAAACACAAAACAGGCAAAACGTCCTATTTTTCCCTGAAACAATAACTTAATGAAATCTATCAACCAACAGCACAGGGTTCACATTGGTCTTCCCAGATCTCTGGTTGAGATCTGAAGACTATATGCCCAGATGTTTTTCATTTTTTCTCCTTCCAAATAAAAATAACCCTTTCTCATCATCATCTTGATAATTTCTGACTCCGAAGTTGGTACAGAATCGGTTTGAATCACCTGAAAAACACAGCTCTCCCCTGACTCAGAGACCAGAATAAGCACAGTGATGGAGGAACCCCCCACTGATGTGTTTCCATTCTGATCCAAACAGACTCCATTTGGGAAAGCACTGAGCAGATACAGGAATTCCCCACTGCCCTGCCAAGGATTTCACTTCTACTGCAGAAAGCCAAAGTTTGCAATTTGAGGGTGTTCTACATTGAAACAATTAAGATTTACACTCAAACTCTAAATCGTTTAGCTCTGGGCTAAAAAACTTT